TGGTCCGTCTAAAATTTCAGCGGCCGACTTCTTTTGTGAAATCAGTCAGACAGAACTCACAGCATATTGATGTATTGAATCAGGTTTTAGTGGCCCTGAATCCGACTTCACTTCAATCGTATAAATGATCATTAATAAGTAATAGCTGTCAAAATATAATTGTCGCCAATCCTCGTATGTAATTGGTGACATGTATATTTTGACAGCTATCACTCGTTAACGATCATTCATACTATTTAAATGGAGTCAGATTCAAGGCCTTTAAAGTGGTGAGCCTGCCAACGACGAACCTAATGCAGCAAACCACGTTGATTAAGAACCTTCTGCATCCCATACCTTTGGTGAACAAACTCAGTGAAGCCAGCCTAGTAGATAAATAACGCTGTTTTCCACTGTACGATCAAATCAGAGAGAGATCACAGCATCACTTAAGTGGTAGGCTTGACCTCAAACTAAACACACCCTGCAAATCTACTTAGACGGTAAATGTCTTGAACTCTACACGTCCAATAAACGAATGAATTGGCTGACAAAATCGACGAGCAACTCAAATAGCTCAATTCTTAATCCGACGCATTCAGCGAGGCCAGCACAGCAGCGGCATGGACATGCTTAAATAGTATTATTATATCGATAATCTATCCTCGTATCAAATCTTCTTATTGATCTATTTGACAGATCGTTCCATTATGATTGTAACAATCATATTCTTATTATCACATTACTGTCATATCATAACCAAATGTGGATTTATTACTGTTGTCCGTGTTGACATTAAATTATGATATTTACATAAACATATCGCATCAGGCTCACCACTTTAGTAGCTTTGGAATATCTAACTCCAGTTCGATTCTATTATGATTGTTATTGATTTATACATATTGTCAATCCTCGAATATTTTATCGACTTGAATTGCCTTGGTGAATAACAGAATTAAAATAAGTCAAATACGAGAATGAAGTTTTAAATACGTATATTTTGTTCAATCGTTGATCAGAACAGACAATCCGAGAGGCGGAGAGAAGGAAGCGGAGATAGAGAAACGAAGCGGATTGATACGCACTGGAGAATACATGTGAGCCAACTCTTCTTTGTTTCCTTCTCTCCATCTCTCGGATTGTCTGTTCTGATCAATGATTGAACAAGATATACGTATTTAAAACCTCATTCTCGTATTTGACTTATTTTAATTCTGTTATTCACCAAGGCAATTCAAGTCGATAAAATATTCGAGGATTGACAATATGTATAAATCAATAACAAACATAATACGATCGAAGTGGAGTCAGATATTCCATGGCCACTAAAAGGTCAATTTAAATGCTTCTATGATACCATTAAAAAAGTATACCATTTTGTTTTCATGTAGTTAGATGTTTGACATTAACCTAGAAAATGTACTTTTATTTTTTTTTCTTTTGTGATCTATAAACAATCGACTTTTAATTCCATCTATTAGTTTTTTTTATTCATGCACTTATGCACAGACTTTTGCCTTTTGCACCATCTGACAACTGATGAATTAATAGTAATTAAATCAATAAATATTGCTTCAAACTAAATAAAGTTATAAAGTAAAAGTGATATATACAATAGAAATTACTAGTGATCGGTACATAAAACTAACCTAATAATCTGATAGACGATCATTTTAATTCAGTAGTGACATTATACCGTCTAAGATAATGTATGGATTATATTTCTATATAGATGTACAGATGATATGTGCATTTATTTCAAGTGTAGTTTATATCAAATGTTTTTTCACCTTTACTTACTTACTTACGCCTGTTACTCCCAATGGAGCATAGGCCGCCGACCAGCATTCTCCAACCCACTCTGTTCTGGGCCTTCTTTCCTAGTTCCATCCAATTCTTGTTCATTTTTCTCATGTCTATCTTCATTTCCCGGCGTAATGTGTTCTTTGGTCTTCCTCTTTTTCTTTGGCCTTCAGGATTTCAAGTGAGGGCTTGTCTTGTGACGCAGTTGGGTGCTTTCCTCAGTGTGTGTCCTATCCACTTCCAGCGCTTCTTCCTGATTTCTTCCTCCGCTTGGATCTGGTTTGTTCTCTCCCACAGTAGGTTGTTGCTAATAGTGTCCGGCCAATGGATCTGAAGTATTTTGCGTAGACAACTGTTGATAAACACCTGTATTTTCTGAATGATTGCTTTCGTAGTTCTCCAGGTTTCTGCCCCATACAGTAGAACTGTCTTGACATTTGTATTGAAAATCCTGACCTTGGTTTTCACCTTTACTCACAGTATTTATGATTCATCATTATAATCTTTGTATATGTGAAGTTGTACTTTGGTATATGCTACTTATGCTGATAGATATAAATAGTATGTGGCAATAATCGGAAGTGGAATGCCTGCAAGAAGATTGGAATGAAAACTAGAAGCAATCAGGGTAACAGCAGATATGAAGGAACAATGAAGTTTTTAAGAAACAATTCAAAAATGTGCGAATGGTGTACTTAGTGTATGATTTTCACAATTTACTTAACCATTGTGTGAATTCTTCGTACACTACGGTATAGTAAAACAATTCTCAGTAATGTAAATTTTGGGTAGCGCAAATAGTGCTTAGTTCAAATGAAAACAAATGATCCACTAAAAGCATACTTATTGGATAGTTAAGTAATATAATTTATAACAATGAAGTAGTAAGTCTGAACTCTGATATACCTACTTAAGCTTAGATAACCATAAAGTATTACCAGCCACCAACATAAACCATATAGTACATAGTGAAGTAACGGGACTTTGATTAAGTCACGGATCTAGGTGAAATTACATTCTCATTCTCAAGATCTTTTTTTAAACTTCAGATAGAATTAAGCTGAATTGATGACAGTTGCAGAGAATCAGTCTTCGACCTAATCTTAAATGAAAGTAATTGTTTTGAAACGAAAGCTTGAGAGGTGATATTTGTTATTAATTTTTCTATTCAATAAGGTTCGTGGTACTTGTGTACTTGAGCCATAGGATTGAACTGTCCCACTAGGGTGCAAAGAGTCAGGATGGTGTCTAGCTCTCCTGAAAACTAATTTAAATTCACGTCTTTCTGAAGTATAATTATAATCATGAATTTTTTCATTTAGGCAATTCTCAGAAACTTTAAAAGTCAAGATCAACATTTTTAAGTTTGTAGTTTCATTTCTTTCATCAAGTCGTGAGGTATTGGGATTCCCTATCTACATAGAGAGGATCTTCAGCTTCTTTTGATACATTCAAAGTGAGATTGAATCTTTATAGCACTATAAATGGCAACGATTAACATTGTCTACGTAACCTTTCTACCTCACACTTGCAAACTGGAAATTTATTTTACATCCCTTTAATTCATATTGTTTCTTCTAGAGAGCGAAGTGTGTATTTAGTGTGGGTACGAATAGTGTGAAAACTAATATTCTTTGCATTATTCTGTGTGATATTTATATGTTTCACAGTAACCTTGTATGTTTTCATTTATATAGTGTTTACTAACTAATCATCGAAAGTAGGTGAAATCGTTAAGTAAATTGAATGTATTTAGTTTAATCATGGACGACCTGTTTGAAGAGTCGATCTTTACTACACTAGTCTTTCCTGTCCTTACTTTCTAACATGGTAATTACAATGGGTTTCCAATTATCAAATATAATCCGTAAAGTCGAGGACACAACAGAGGCAATGGTGAATATATCAGGACGTTTAAGAGAATAATCATTTTCCTTTAATGATTCACTTCAGTATTGTTTAATGTTATAATCATTAGAATTAACGAGGATGTGATTAATAACAAGTTTTTTAAAAGAAAATTTAGGAATTATACTTCATAGTAAGTGAAATCAAACGTCCAACAGTCAATCTGTTAATCGATTTGATTCCTAAATTTATGTCAACAAACACAATTGTAAACTGTATGTTCTCGATTACAAATAAAAAGAATTCAGCAAAGAAATTTTTCGCTTCAACGAAATCATTTACTTAAGCTGTACATTCGTATTTATAGTTGTATGGTAAATATGTCTATAGAAGGATAGAGAAGATTGGATCAAAAAGTGATTCGAGACTTTAATTATCAGACGAGGTTGCATAATAATGAGGAGGTTGGATAAGTTGACTTGCTCCTGTGGGGCAGGTTGCATTGGCCGCACAAAGCGATCACTTTCTAAACGTATCTCAGAACACTAACCAGTGTGGCTTTTAAAAGAATGCAAAAAAGTTACCAGTTCAGTGTAGGAACATATCGCTCCGTAAGAATCTTCTAAAATAATCTACACAACCAAAGGAATTGAATCGAAGGGAGGTTGGATCAAAAAAGTATGTATTGGTAATCCATCAAGTCAAGACGCAACTCTGCGTGCAAAAACGATACATCCAACGACCTATCTTTCCTTTGTCCTCATTCCCTTCTGTAGTATATTTTGGGTTGTTTTCTTTCCTTATTGTGTTTGCTGAAATAATTGTTCTGTAATCAATTATTATTATCATTAAACAAGTTTTCCTGATTATTATCCAGTTTTTATTATTATGACCTTTATGTTTTCGTTTTTCTTCATATCTGTCAAGTGGACAATTATCTTTCATAATTCTCATCCGTAAATTATTTCCATCCTTATATTCTTCTCTAAACCCTTGATTAATTACGTAACCACATTTGATAATTAGAGTCTCGTATCACTTTTTGAAGCAATCTTTTCTATCTTTTTATAGACATATATTTACCATACAACTATAAATACGAATCTACAGCTTAAGTAAATGATTTCATTGAAAAGCAAACTTCCTTCGCTGAATTCTCTTTATTTTATTCAATGACACAATATGTTATTTTAATTATTTGAAGTTTTGATTGCGTTTCTATTTGACATACATAATAAGTTATTATCAGTATAGGGGTTGTGGAGATTGTTAAGTTTTTGATTGAGATTGTGAACCGATTGATGTTAGACCACCATTGAAAACCTGGAAGCACTGGACGGGCGTTTCGTCCTATCTCGGGACTCCTCAGCAGTGCGCATCCACGATCCCGCTCGCGGGATCGAAAGCAAAAAGTTTGTTTTAAAAAAAGGAAACAAACAAGTGAAAACAATAAAAGCTAAACAGTGATGTACTTGTTGTCAATCGAACAGCAATAATGTTGAATTAAATCCGATAAAGTAAACGATTTTTATTCATAAATTATGCGATTACATCACAGTCGATAAAATAAAGAATTACGTATAAAAAGGTGAAGAATGAAAGAGAAATAGTAATGACAACAATAAGAATATATATAGTTGTAAATTTGTGTAGACCAGATACCAATAAAAAAGCAATGTATATTAACACAATATTATAGTGGGAACCAGTGATGACGTAATTTACAATAGAAATTGTCTATTTAAAAATATATAACAAATATGGATATGTTTGTCGACAGTGTTACTAGCCAACGACAGCTTTCTTTCACCGGACGCATTATTAAATTTTGCGTAATTCATCCTCTAATGAATACATTTTTAATTTAAGACTTTTCAATTCATTCAATATTTGGTTAGATCGTGTTGTTGAAGCTTTAACTTGTTTTAATAGAGCCAAATCAATATCTTTATGATCGTTAATATTAAGTGATTCAGGTAAATTGATCCCATCGGTTAAACCAAGAGTTAACTAGAGAACAAAGATAATAGAGATTTAGTATTAAAAAAATCAAGAAAATAAACAGAATATCTGTTATGGCTTTATGTTGCTGTCGATTTTTACCCTGTGCTAATTGTTGTGTCCTTGACTGGAAAATTAGAGAGCAGAGTACTTATCGATCGATTACAATGACACGTAAACACGAACGGACGGCCTAGAGTCTCGATTGGTCTCGCTTCCCTGTCTAGCCCAGTCAGTTGAGTCCAGAACACAAGCCACAGCCTCGGAGATATGAATCATTATATTTCAAACATACTTTGTTTATATACCAATCAAGGATACCACATCGTACCATAAAGTAGAAAACAACATTTTGTACAATATTCAACAAGTGAACAAATATCGACCAATAGGAAATATCCATTTAAAGTCCAAGGAAACCATTGGACTTAACATGATAATTATTGGTCTATTCCTCCGCATCCACAACAATATCTAATGGGAATTTTTTATTTTAAAGGAGTTAACGCCTTTAGAAACTTTAATAGACAGTTGATCGTGACTAATTACCATTGGAATCACTTTACAATTTACTGTAGGAATTATTAACATGCTTAAATGTTCGTTGATTAACTTCAGATTTTTTTCATTTAATGAAATATTCAGTTGAAACAGTCTAAATCGCATCATATAATCTTTTTTTGAGTTGTACATTTCGTATTTAAGTAGAACCTACGTTAAATAGAATACATGCTCTAATTATTAACCAGTTTCCTATCAGTTAGATTGTGGCTTTTTAAAATTATTTACAACTGAAAGTAAAGAAAATATAAACGGTTCAATTTTATGAATAATTATATCATTTTGATAAAGTCATTATCAATAGTTTAAGGTGTTAGACGATAAAGTAGAAGTTTATATGCTTTAAGCTGTATTCTACAGTAGTACACAATGTAGAAGATCATATTTTGGACAGCTTATACTACTGTCAATCATCATTGAGTTTTTTCAACTTAATTTAATTTGGCTTAAAATTTCATGCAAAACGATGTTGAATAGCTATGATTGTAAATCTTTATCGACTAGGGTGACTGAGAAATACGCTACATATCCATAAATATCTCCTAACCCAACATGAACTGGTGGTTAATGTGCAAATATCATCAGCCTATTAACTGATTGACTATTGGTTTGAACTAGGTTAGTAAGTATAAACCATCTAGTTGAAATCTGTACAATAATCATGATCAGTGGTCGAAGAGCTAGAACACTATGATAAAAAACTGACCTTTGAAATTAAGAATTTTAGTGCTATTTCATAATTTTATTCGATGGATTCATCCCTTTTTTTCAAAGTTGTTACCATAACTGTCAGTCATAGTTTTACTACATATAGCATCTCAGCCAGAAACATTACTGATACAACGAGATTAACTAAGCTGTTTATACTGTTATTTTATTGTCATTTAACTGCTTAGCGGATGTGCAGTTATTCATAAACTAGACACTCTTCTAATTTCTCTGTCGGTTAATATTTAAGTTGAATATATACCAGGGTTAATAAAAACGGTATGTCTTTTTTATTCTCATTCATTCAGCGAATTCAAAGGGAAAAATATTAACACTATGATGACTTGCGTTATTATCACAATTAATGTAAGAATGTACCTTTAATAGTTGTCGTTCAACCTCTTTTAACTTTTTACGCAACACACTAATATCTGTTCGGTAACCTTCCATTTCTAATTGACGTCTACGTTCTAAATTCTGATAACGTTGTGACATAACTTGAACACGTTCATGAAGTTTTTGTGCTTGATCTTTAAATACATCCTTTGACATGACACCTTCTTCACGTGCACGAACTAATTCCTCTTCTAATTGAATAACCTGAATACCAACAATACATGAAGGGATATGGCAGATTCAGATTACATAAAATATAAAACTAATATGAATGTTATATAAATTGACTAGTTAGTACAGTTAGAAAAATACACGTTTTACCATAAATTAGTCAATAAATAATCGAACAAAACAATCTCCGTGCTATAATTATCCTAAAACCTCTGTTTATAGGCCTACAATTTTAATCATTACTTTTACACGCTGATTTTCCATACTACAGGCACACAATAGATATTCTTTTCTTCCCAACAACTTTGGCTTTCAAGTCATATTATCTTTTAAAACTTTATTTCGTTTTATATGTTTCAATATCAATCAGTCATCATATTTACAGACCAGCTATACAACAATATCATCTTTTGTTGAAGACAGTGATGGGTTTCTTAAAGATTTAGGTTTTTTACCATTTACTGAGGGCTACACGGAAGCTAGACAGAAGTATACTTAGGCACAGGTTCGACGAACCATCAGTGCTCGCTATCAGGGTCCCTGAGTTCGTATGAGCTTACGATCGTCAAACTAAAAACGACTCAAAAGAGTTCTCTATCTTTATAAATGAAAATAGACTAGTGAGGACTGATATAAGCACAGCTTAATATAATAAAAGGTTTTCTTATCAGAATTTGATTTGTCAGCTATAAAACACTATGTCGAACAGTTTCTGAACTTTTGATACATGATGAATAGATTTTACCAATTTACGAAAGGTAGTAGGCAGAGAATTATCCAACTTTGTGTCTGTACACAACAACTATAAACACAAAGAAATATTAGCATACAACTAGTAAGACCAAATGAATAGGAAGAATAAATCTCGTATGAGTGTACAGGACACAGTTGAACGAACCACATGCATAAACTTAAGTTGCATTAATTGACCTTTGAGCAGTGGAGTTAATGTCATGCTTGTCTGAACTTTAGTGCTGATCGAATCCTATCGAAAAAGTCCTAAATATAGCTAATAGTCCAAGTAACTCAACATGACGTGGACTATGCTTTGACGTTAAGTGGTCAAAATTAGTGCATATAAAAACCCAGGTTTCATGTTAGTTATTACTCATCAGTAAGGTGTAAACCTGTAACCTTGATAGAACTGATGTTCCCTGATAAATTCGAACTTACATTATCCCGTTTCACAGTCTAAGGTATCACCACTAAAATACTCAGGCCACAATCAACCTCCTATATGACTAAAATGTTCACAATAGATTGACCATTCAGTAGTCATATCTGTCTAGTCGATAATGTTTATTGGATTATATCGGACTACTTCCAATCATTTTAAATATTAAAAACATGAAACTGTTTCTTATCACAGCGCTTCACACACACATCAAAGAGTACTCTAAAACGAACAACCTTATCAATATAGTTAATGATAAATGGATACAACAGACCAATTTATTCACTTACTTGATCTCTATACATATCTGATAATTTCTGTAATTGATCTAATTGGTGCTCTAAATTGTCGATTGTTTTCTCTAATTGAATTTGTTTTTGTTGATTGAATTCAATCCATGCATGAGCTTCTAAACTTTGAATATTATTAAATAAATTAGTAGTATTGATAGTTGTTAGAGTATTGTTTATTTTGTCTCGAGGTGAATAACAAGTATTACGTTCACCAGTTTTTAAAGTAGCTTTAATATTGAAGCAGATAGAAAGGGAAAAACAAACAAAAACCAAATAAACTAATTAGCTTATCTTTAAATAGGAAATAAGAAAATAATAGATTTTTATTAAGTATAATGAACTGTTCAAACTTTTACATCATTAATTTTATACCAAACAGGTATTTATTGTCATAGATTTTCCTGTACTTATGCGCTTCCAGATAATATTTATAAATATATTGAATATAAATTGCTGAAAAACGTAAGAAGTATCACCATGATAGTTCGTATACTCCTCTTCAACTTTCCTCTGTTCCCTGAGGGTACAAGAAGCAATCAATGTAGAATTCATAAATCAAATATATTAGGCAATGAAAAGAGTAAAGCTAATCATATGGATTTACGGGTGAACATCAATGGGTGCTAACCAATGCTTACAGACTTGTTACACAGATTTTTCGAATATTCACTAGTCAAACAGTTATAAAACCGGAATTTTGTTGCAATATTACACATTTTCTGTTGGGAATTCTTTAAAGTCGCCAAATATATAGCACTGAATAAGGCGATTATTATTATTATTATTATTGTCATTATTATTAAATAAAACTGAGCTTTCCTATTACATTTTAAAAAGTGAGATATGTTTTACAGTTAGTTCTCACCATAAATTGACATCAGTTAAAGGACTAGTTAAAATTAGGGATCATTAATGATTGTTTTGACTTAGTCACGGATTTTGACACTTCTGTTTTTTGAAGTGGATCGTCTAGTCGTGGAGTTCTTATTGTTCTTCTGAGCAATATCAGGACAAACTTAGGGTGGAAGTGAAATAATTGAATTTCTCTACATATGACTAACAGCTTATCCTGTCAACAGAAGAAAACTGGAGACTGAAGTACATAGGAAGTCAACCCACAAAGATTAAATTCCTAAACACGACAGGAAAAACCCAAGAATTCACAAAATCAAACGTGTAAAAACTCTATTCAGAAGGGCGAGAACACCCTGAAACACACTCAGAGAGGAGGAAAATGAAGAAAAAAATATAATGGTTACTCTTCAAAAGAACGACCACCCATTCAACGTCATCAAGAAAAATCGACCTAGCTCATCAGCAGAAACAAAACCAAGTTCAGAAAACAATAAACTGATCATCCTACCATATATATAAAAGACATCAGAAATTACGAAATTATCGAAACCATTCGGAATATAGGTAGCACACCAACCAGCATAATAACTTCAACCAATACTATGAAAACCAAAGGACAAAATGACAGAAGATAAAAAACCGAACATCGCCTGCAAAATAAACTATTCCCATCGAGAAAAACTCTACGTCGGACAAAGGAGAGGCCTACTTCATTTTTGACCATATGAACATCAATTAGCGGTCAAATGTCATGACATATTGTTATATCTCTCTTTCTTCTTACGGTTAATGACCCAGCTATTCCTATTGCTTAGTATTCTCGGACACCGATTCACTCGACAAGTCCCCAAATCAGAACATGGTTGAACAGGAAAAAGATTATATTCCAAATAGCAAGTCAGGAGCACAATAGGGGAAAACGTCGGTATATTTATAGTTTTTACATAAGAAGATTCCAGAGTATTCTCCGACTATCGACTAGTGCTGATTGGATAAGAATCAGCCAATCAGCGTGCACCAAAACAATCATGCATTGAGCATGCTTTAATCTAGTCTATGTCCTGCTAACACCTCCCCTCTGAGCAGATTCGTAGGATCTGGTGCTAGGGTCCAACTGCAATTGAGTGACTGGCTTGTGCTTTTGATTAGTCCATCGTCTAGGCAATAAAGAAGTATCACTCTTTTCTTGCACAGAAACTGACGTGTCTATTCCCGGTGTTTTGATTTCAAAGGTGTCTAGCAGAACATCAAGAGGTAATCGATATTGAATGTTGTTGCTGGCTATCGAGGTTGCTTTCAATTGCTTAGCATGACGTACCCAAACTTCCGAGCCAACTGACACCTCGTAAACCACACTCCCCTTCTTTCTCAAGATCCGACCAGCTGTCCATGTAGGATGTTTCCCACGATAGTCCATAGCAAGCACTTTTTGTCCCATTGTGAACAATCGTCTTTGTGCCCCATGATGTCGATTGAACTGATTCTCCATCTATAGGTTTCGTTGGGGTTCAATAGCTGGCGTAGGACGGATGACATCGAAATGTGTTCGTATTTTTCTTTTCGGTTTTCCTAGTAGTCTATCACCTGTCTTCTTTGGAAGTACTGGGGTGTCCAATGATGAACGCGATACGTTACAGACACTGTTAATTGGTACATCCATTATTCCAAGTTTGTCTAACATATCTAGACCAAGAAGATCAAGGTTCGGCCGTTCTGTTAGGTAACATATTCCTGTACAGTTAGTTCCATTGAAGGAAAATTCACACTGTAATTCACCAACCAGTTTTAGCACACCACCTGATGCGTTTTTAGCCGTTTTCTTAGATGGCTTCATTGGCGGTTTACCCAGCAAGTTATACGTTTCTCTAGACACTAACGTGATATCTGATGCCGTGTAAATTTGAAGACGAGCTGATATGCCGTTTACCTGGATGGTAACATACTTTCTCTGAATGTCATAGTTTGTTTGAAAAGCAGCTACCAGAGAAAGAGATTTAGACTCGGCTGATTTCACATGTCGAGGACGTTTATGCTTCTTCTTAGGCTGAGACGTGCGCTTCGGTGGACAATGACCTTCTTTATGTCCACGTTTGTTGCACTCCTGACATTTATGCTTCTTGAATGGACAGAATCGTGCATAATGCCAATCACCGCATAACCAGCATGCAGTCCTTGGTTTGTTACGAGTTGATACCGGCTTCTGAACTTTTAACCTAGTAACAGTATTTACACTACCGCAGGTTAAATTAGAATTTACCTGTTCAATCAACTCGTTGTCGTGTCTGATGCTTTGTAGACGCTTACACTCATCCGTCAATGTTCTGAGTGTGACGTTTGGGTCTTGATCCAGTCTAGCTAAAAGTCTGATCCTGATCTCAGCATCTTGTGGTGACTGAAGAGCTTTGATGAATATTAAGCATTTAAATTGGTCATCAGTCAACGAGCGTAACTTGAAACGTTCACATTCTCTGTTGACAATGTCTGCTAGAACCCCATATTCATCAGCTTCGCGTTTCACCAAATTTAGACACCGATATCGAATACTAAACAACGAGGATGACTCGCCGAATATCTCTGACAACTGAAATACCGTCTCCTCGAAACTGAGCTCTCGAGGTAACTTTGGCAATATATGGTCAGCAAAACGTGCATGTTCACTGCTTCCCAACTTACGTACCAACAATCGGGTCTTCCACGCATCGTCTTGGTTACAGAATTCTGTCCTAAATGTATCTTCCCAACGTTTGAACCAAGTGAGAAAAGTATTTCCACTTTCGGGATCATAGATGAATTCCGGGATGCTGCAAGCGACTGCATCACAAGACGTACTTGAAATAGCATGTGAATTCGAGCAGTGGATGTTAAGCTGTTGAGTCAGAGTCGGTGTCTAAATTTGGTGAAACGCGAAGCTGATGAATATGGGGTTCTAGCAGACATTGTCAACAGAGAATGTGAACGTTTCAAGTTACGCTCGTTGACTGATGACCAATTTAAATGCTTAATATTCATCAAAGCTCTTCAGTCACCACAAGATGCTGAGATCAGGATCAGACTTTTAGCTAGACTGGATCAAGACCCAAACGTCACACTCAGAACATTGACGGATGAGTGTAAGCGTCTACAAAGCATCAGACACGACAACGAGTTGATTGAACAGGTAAATTCTAATTTAACCTGCGGTAGTGTAAATACTGTTACTAGGTTAAAAGTTCAGAAGCCGGTATCAACTCGTAACAAACCAAGGACTGCATGCTGGTTATGCGGTGATTGGCATTATGCACGATTCTGTCCATTCAAGAAGCATAAATGTCAGGAGTGCAACAAACGTGGACATAAAGAAGGTCATTGTCCACCGAAGCGCACGTCTCAGCCTAAGAAGAAGCATAAACGTCCTCGACATGTGAAATCAGCCGAGTCTAAATCTCTTTCTCTGGTAGCTGCTTTTCAAACAAACTATGACATTCAGAGAAAGTATGTTACCATCCAGGTAAACGGCATATCAGCTCGTCTTCAAATTTACACGGCATCAGATATCACGTTAGTGTCTAGAGAAACGTATAACTTGCTGGGTAAACCGCCAATGAAGCCATCTAAGAAAACGGCTAAAAACGCATCAGGTGGTGTGCTAAAACTGGTTGGTGAATTACAGTGTGAATTTTCCTTCAATGGAACTAACTGTACAGGAATATGTTACCTAACAGAACGGCCGAACCTTGATCTTCTTGGTCTAGATATGTTAGACAAACTTGGAATAATGGATGTACCAATTAACAGTGTCTGTAACGTATCGCGTTCATCATTGGACACCCCAGTACTTCCAAAGAAGACAGGTGATAGACTACTAGGAAAACCGAAAAGAAAAATACGAACACATTTCGATGTCATCCGTCCTACGCCAGCTATTGAACCCCAACGAAACCTATAGATGGAGAATCAGTTCAATCGACATCATGGGGCACAAAGACGATTGTTCACAATGGGACAAAAAGTGCTTGCTATGGACTATCGTGGGAAACATCCTACATGGACAGCTGGTCGGATCTTGAGAAAGAAGGGGAGTGTGGTTTACGAGGTGTCAGTTGGCTCGGAAGTTTGGGTACGTCATGCTAAGCAATTGAAAGCAACCTCGATAGCCAGCAACAACATTCAATATCGATTACCTCTTGATGTTCTGCTAGACACCTTTGAAATCAAAACACCGGGAATAGACACGTCAGTTTCTGTGCAAGAAAAGAGTGATACTTCTTTATTGCCTAGACGATGGACTAATCAAAAGCACAAGCCAGTCACTCAATTGCAGTTGGACCCTAGCACCAGATCCTACGAATCTGCTCAGAGGGGAGGTGTTAGCAGGACATAGACTAGATTAAAGCATGCTCAATGCATGATTGTTTTGATGCACGCTGATTGGCTGATTCTTATCCAATCAGCACTAGTCGATAGTCGGAGAATACTCTGGAATCTTCTTATGTAAAAACTATAAATATACCGACGTTTTCCCCTATTGTGCTCCTGACTTGCTATTTGGAATATAATCTTTTTCCTGTTCAACCGTGTTCTGATTTGGGGACTTGTCGAGTGAATCGGTGTCCGAGAATACTAAGCAATAGGAATAGCTGGGTCATTAACCGTAAGAAGAAAGAGGGATTATAACACATATCCTCGCTTTTATGAATGCATGTGGAAAACTGTGGACACGCATTCGACTGGAAAAATGTCGAGATCTTTGATAGAGCGAATACTGAAAGCACTAGGGAATTTTTAGTAGCATAGTACCCACGTCAACCAGTAATTAACAAACACGTCGAAATCGATCGCATCCACCAACCATTCGGAATAATCATAGACAAATATAGGACCAAGAATCGAATCTAAGTGATATACAATTAAAACAGAGGTAGACAATGGCAGGTTAGAGGTCAATAATAACCAATCAAGGTCGTGGTCAATAAGACAAGCTGTGAGTCATATGTAGAGAAATTCATATATATTACTTCTACCTCAAGTTTGTCCTGATATTGTTCAGAAGAACAACGAGGGCTCTACGACCAAAGCATCCACACTATAGGACGAAACTTCGTCAAAATCATCCACCTCAGCTACAAATCTCTACTATCTCATATTCAGGGATTCTCCAACAACGTCCATGCCAATGACCTTCAACACGATATTAGGACACTGAATTCCAAATCAACGGTCTAAAGTTGTAGTAGCCGCTGTGAGACCTAAAAAGCTTGAATTGCATCATAGATCGAGCTGAAAACAGAAATTAAAATACTACATAAACCCCGAAACAATTTTTCAAAAGAAAAATAACCGTATTAGCACAGGTCTAATGTTATCAATATGTCACTGAACAGATGGCTAATTAGTGTACTAGGTCAAAACCTCACTACACAAATTAAGAGGGAGAAAATGAATCACTAGTTAATTAGAGAAACAAGGATGATTTTTAAGGATTGCATAACAAAATATCTATGATATGCGTAATGGCATTGATTTACATTATCTTTGTATCGTGTGATAAGTAGAAAAGTTTTCAAGAGGTTAGGATATAACTATATAGTAAAAATTAATTATATCACTGAAAGTATTCTTTGTATGTCACATCTAACTACATTTATCGATTTAGATGCATACGAAGTAGAAAGTTAGTACAACAGGTTTCCACTAGCTTGAACTAGCACTGTAAAAACATTTTGCTATAAATAGTCAAATATTAAAATGATCTAACTCCTTACCATTTGCTGATAAAGTAATTAATTGACTCAACTAAGACTTACAAGCAAAACGTCCAAGGCACTTGAGAGATTACAATTTGTTCAAATGATTCGTGATAACGGGTTCTGTCTTATCGTTGAGTTACTTGGTAGTTAATCATGTCACGGTCTTAATCAATGGAATTACGTCAGCACTGAAGACCAAGCAAAATAAACCATTTACCTGTCAATAAAGTAGCAGTGGTAAACTGTATATCTCCTAGCACGCAGACTTACGAATTTTCTTCCTGAAGTTCACAACAAAAAAAGATCTTAGTTAGACAGACTATGAATTCCAAACAGCTCTCGTCCTATGGAGAAACTCATTAGCAACAACGAACATTACAACTCCACCAGAGACCAAACCCTGGATCTCCAATTTTCGTGACGAGTGTTTAACCTTTTAACCTTTTCAATGATTGTCTAACTCAGGTTATTTTTTGATTTAAGCTATAAATTCAGAAATCTCCACGAGCCTCTTACACTGATAATCAATGGGTTAAAAATTTATCAACATTTAACATAAACAGGAAGATAAATTTCAATGAAAAGTATCATGATTTAATACTTGATAACCTACACAGTGTCGATGGAGTAACACTAGAAGAAGTCAATTTTTTAACACTGATTTGACTTAAAAGTTTATCTTTTTCCAATATCCAAACCTTTTCAGCTTGACGAAATTGATTTCTTTGTGCTAGAAATTCCTTAGTGCTGTCATATAATAATCCTTGACAGTGTCTAAGCCTAGTTAAAAACAGTAGGAAAAGATGAATTTATTATGGGGAATAAAAATTGTGAACAATAGGAATGACAAATCGTTGAAACAAGCACATAAAAATTTTCTCTATAGAATCTATACAAATGACTGGTATTATATTAACATGCATAATCAGTTCGATGTATTGGGCAATTTCTGTGAAATCCATGTAATAGGGGGTACCAATGAAATATGGCATAAACACAATAAAAAAACACTTTAGAATCAGTAAATAGACTATTCAAAATACTACGGGGAACTTAGATATTATAATCAGAATACTGAATTTACTAGTATATGGGTTTTTTTAAAGGTTGGTAATTCTTCCATGATAATGAAAACTATCAGGAATTAGTGTCAAGATGATGAATCGAAATGAGTGAAAGGTATTCTGTATGTTCAAAACAACATAGTTATGGGGGAGGGTGGCGAACCGTCTTATCTTCAGATTTTGTCAATCAGGTCAGTATTGATGTGTTTTGACTCTAAACTACTGTTTAGAATTTTACAAGTCAATATGTATTGCAAGTAAATTATTTATCGAATACAATTCATGTATTTTACTTTCAGTCAAACTTCTTGTGTGAAATTTAATAAAACTATCCGGCTATCTAAATACTGAGGTTGTTATGTCTTGAGACCCTGATCGACTTCGCGTGCAATAGTCACGAATCAGAATTCTGATTAGAATTTATTCTATTCGGCGTCTACTATTTCCTAGACTTCATTAATTATACGTCTGACCTGCATCATTAACTGTGAGCCGATGTAGACTAGGTAAGATGGTGGTTGGAAGTAGTCAACAGGCTAAGCTCCTACTTGTCTGATGTCCGTTAACTTTTCTCTATTTCTTGTCTTGCTTTAAAAGAGAAGTTTGCAGCCAACTTCTATTGTACTCAATTCAACTATGGCTCGAAATTCAGACAATAATACAGAGCAAAATCTTGGCCGCATGTCAACATAATTAAGAAATTACAGTAATGACATAACTACACAACAAGTGAAGAAGAACTGAGTAATAGGTTCTTAATAGATGAATAATAACTTAAGATAGGTAAAGCATAAAACAGTAGTTTATGAGTCAAACAAAAGGCTTTAAAACATAGGAATACAAAAATACAACAACTTAAGTATGTAATGATTTAAGAACAAAAATACAGGTAGGATATTTCCGAAAGTTCAACTTTTCTAATACTCGTTCTGTAAAGTTTGAATCTATGACCTACCAGTTGAAAGATGAGTGTTTCGATAATTAAGTCACCATTTCATAAATTCACTACAGATAGTTAAGATCACATGCTCATTGGTGACTAGCTTCAAGATGGATTTCCTGGAGATCTAATGGGAAGCCGTGACCAGTGAAGTTCAATCCGTGTAGGGTGAACACGGTTATGCACCTCAGACAATGGATGAAGGGTTGCGCAAGATCGTGGTTTAGTTTAATTTAGACAGTAACACCAGAGGATGCCGACTCAATGGTATGGGGGTTAGTTATTCACGTGTAAGACCGAAGGTCCTTGGTTCGAGTCCCACATGTGGGATCGTGGATGCGCACTGCTGAGGAGTCCCATACTAGAACGTAAGGGTCGTCCAGTGCTTTCAGATTCTCACTAGCGGCCTAGCCTAGATCAACTATTAAAATTACTACAATCTTCACAAATCACCATTCTGGTAATAATCGTAAATTAACTGGTGTCATATTGGTTGGTAGATTTTTTTCCGTCCATCTACATTAAATTGGTTATTTTTGTACTTCCCTATGTTGAAAGTTGATAGTTTTTTTGGGTCTGTCACCTTGAATGTGAGTTCTAACCTCAGCTAATTGATACCTATTATAGAACCATTTGTTATTATTATATATTCACATCTAAATATCGCGAGAAGCCGAGACAGTCTTCTGACTTTGATGGACCTCTGGTACGTTATTCCAGTGAATTTAACAGCTACTCAATCTCTCTAATTGGAGTAAATGAACTAGGATTTGTAACCTGAAACTTAATGGTCAAGAATTTATTATTTTAACACTATGTAGAATCTATTTAAAGTTTCAGACATATTTATTATTCGTCTGAGCCATGACTGATTACTGAGTGAAGATAAGCATGCATACGCCAAAATTAATAACATAAATAACCGTTATTATATTGTAAATTAATTTTACTCTTGGTTTCATAATGTTGACTGTTTGTATTTGTCTTAATAAAACCACTATTCGGTCTATAATTTAGTTCGTAATTTTTGGTCGGAATTGTGTATCACGTGATCTGATCTAGTGATCTAGTTATCAGGTATATTATCTAGTATCGTGATCTATTATGGCCACATTATTACCGGGTCTAGTGTTATTGTATTATGGCACTACATATCAGAGGGTGAAACCCTTTATTTTTTAGCAGTATATCAGTTATAAATCAACTTCATTATTTAGAATAAAACATACTGTTCTGATGAAATGCGTATTTTTTCCTCGTGACGTTTACGTAAACTGTTCATCTCTTCCTGTATTGCTTTACGATCTTCCATTAATGAATCAATTTGTTCACGAGCATTGCGTGTTTGTTCTTCCAATTGGGTTTGTAATGCTCTTAGAGAAGATTTTGACATTTCAAGTTCTCTTAGCACAGCTTCATGTTCTATTCGAGAAACTGTATCTGATTTAGACGATTCTGATGGATCAGAACAAACTTTATGGTCCGATTTAATTTGACCTGATATTGTATGGGTTTTTTTCCAGGATGATCCATATGAAAATATGAGGGAAAAAACAAGATGCACAAATGTGAAAGAAATTAATCATAACAGTAGTATAGCATACATAAAACAACACTAAAATAAATCTATCACTAAAAAGATTTTCCGGAATTGATATCTAACAATCTTATTCGGTAGCGAATAAAACTGTCAACTTATGTATTAGTAAACTTAGACACCTAGATAAGTCATAGCTATTTTCAAACGAAGACTTGCATATAATAGAAAAACGCCGAGAACATTCTTATTCAGCAGATTGAGATAGTTATTTTTAAATAAGGAAAATATCATTTGCATTTCAAAACCATAGATATACTATGGAGAATTTTGTCTTGACAAGAATAACTTTAATGGATTTTTAATATGTCTCAGTTGGAAAGTTGAATAGCTGAACACATTTGAAGTCGGTTTTGAAACAAACCTACTTAGATGTAGTAAAAGTAAACTTTCTAAAATTCACAATAAGCTCGGAAGTATAACAATACTAGGAGGAGTTAGAAGGAAAAGTTAAGTCTCTAACAGCTATGTTTCAAGATATTTCTCAGCATGGAATAAAGACAATCTTCAGGGAACTAGTAGAGACCGACAGAAGCCTATCGCCACCACGGACTAGATAAACATGACATCGGTAACTATTAGGCGACCAATTATTTTAAATATCTCAAGTTTATGATAGAGCAGTTACGTTAGCGCAGTGGTAAAGAGTTTGAATGCAACAGCGAAGGGTGATGAAAGGTTCAAATGTTAGAAAGACTATAAGTCCCCTCAAGATTGCAGATACACTCTGCTAGGGACTCCTAACTAGCACAAAACCTGGGTCCAAGGATTCGTATCCACCGACTCCAGTAGCTGGAAATCAAAAAACGGCATGATGGATGCGAGTTACCTTTGCTGGTAATTAAATTTCAATTTCATAAGTAGAATTCGATCAAGAATAAGTAACAACTATATTGTTTATTATTTGATAAACTAGTGTAAAATTATGGAAAAAATCTCCAATCATCATTGCCATTTAAGCTGACTTTTCAGCTTTTATGAATGTGTGTACAAAGAGAAACAAAATACATACTTCCGCTTGGTTTTAAAATTGTTTTTCCTGATGCAGTAAATTCCATAACACCCTGAGAAGGAGCTGTTGGAATGATCGGTTTAACAGCCATAGCTGAAATCCATGCTGTGTTTCTGTCCGCTTTTCTATTCTCGTCATCAATGAAATGTTCACCATTTTCATTATCAACTGTTTCTTGATTAACTACATTTTGTGATTCAATGTTAGGCTGTTTTAAAAAATAAGTGATTTCATTTGGTCCTAAATTGGATAATTGTAATAAATGTTGTATTTTACGTCGATCATCTAACTCACGAATCTTCAAACGGTCATTTTCGGCATACAAACGTAAAACATGTTCGCGTTCTTGAAAAAGATAAACCTGTTTACAGTAGGTACATGAATAAAAAGTGTTAAATGATAAACTGTTCCGAAATTCAAATAATGAAGTTAGATTTAGTAAAGCTTGGTTTCTTCAATAAAACTATGTAACAGGATCACTAGGCCTTTAAATATGTAAACAGAAACCAGAAGTATGAGCAAGTAGTCATTAAGATCTATCAGTTATGTTGAACGACTAAATACTTTATTGTACTATCAAATAATCTCCCAAACTTTTGAACGAGTTACTTTACCAGCATTAAAGCGTGAAGATGGAAAACACAAAAATATATATATATATAATTTAGAAGACGGAGTTAATGTTTTAATGTCCATCCACGATCATATAGAAATAATCACTTGACTGGACTAATTACTACTTGACAATTCGTAAGTTTTCTTTTTTAGCCAATTTAATTGATCTAACAAATAATTAGGTGATTCGTAGCTATTTATAAATTGAGTAAATACTGAAGTGAAGCAAATTGAATGATAAAGATCTCAATATCATTAGTCGTAAAGATTGGATAAGTTAGCATCTATCTGTAATCAGTAGCTTAGTGAATAATGAGCTGGTATTTCAAGTGAAAGGTACTGGGTCCGAGTCTCTATGTGAAGGTCAAAGTTAGGATACAAGTACACTCATATGGCGAGTCCCAAACAGTACGAAATAGTAGTCCTGAATTCCATTGGTAGCCACGATCTGTCTAACCTAAACGTTTAAGTGACAATTTACCTTGGAGTATATTAGAATCTGTAATATTATCAAACACAAAAATTTCATGATTTACAGAACACGTCAAATTCTGTTGGCATATAAACAGACAACAAAATAAAAGGGAAAATAAAGTCACATAAGTGAATAATGAAATGATTGCTACCCGTATGATAAAGAATGAAAACGATTTACATCAATTATCATGGACTTAAAGGGATATGGATTAAAAATAGTCATTGGTATTGTTTCTTACTACGGTATAAGTGATGGGTATTAACTTCCTGGAACTTCTATTTAAAATTGATTTTATTTCCTAAGTCGCTGACTTTCAAATTGTTACAAATATTAGGATAATATCAGTTTTTTCTGGTTCCCGTTTTTAACTTCTTTACTGTGACAACTTGTAACGATACACTGAAATACTATGTTACATGTTTCTAGCGACCAATTATAATATTTTGGAATAAGACAAGAATGTTTGATAACAGAAAAAACTCGGGTGTATAACATATTAACATTAATTTAGTTACTATCTTAGATTAGATCAGTATTATTATGCTTTTATTATTATGTAGATTTATTACGCTTATCATCATTATTTTAAAATCTTCAAGAGCTACACTATGTAAAAACGTCAAACAACAATAACAACTGAAAATAACGAGATGAATTGTAAAAATCTAAGCAATTAAAACTAAATAGCTCTAACGTTTCACTTGTCAGTTTACTTCAGTCTTCTTCATGTAAATATTTAACATTAAAATTATCAAAGATAAATAAAGTCAAAAACAATTTTGTGCTAGGCCCTTGGTCTGATCATGTTTTGTAAAAATTGGTTTTGTTTGCATTGAAAATTTGGGTGAAACGATAATTTATGGACAACCTTTGAGAGATAGTTAAGTAATCTTGATAATATCCACCTAGTAGGGTTAAATGAAGTTTCAAAATTGGAGTGAGGAACAAAGATTTGGATTGACTGTCGGACGTTAGAGTAAGAAATCAAAATTAAGGCTTTCATTATGAGCTGACATCAGCTATAATGCCAAACTGCTATTTAGAGATATAAATGAATTTCACGCCAAAGTCCAAGACCTTAAATTTGATTGGTTTGTCCATAAATTACAGTCTTGCAACGATTTGAGTCATTTCATGTACAAAAATATTCAAAATACTACATAGGATTATATGTTTATTGTATGTATTTTAAAGTTAAGATTCAGTGAACAAGTCAAAGTATATGTTGATAGAAAATAATTGGATTGTGTATCGTAATGTTAATTAGAAGGAACTATAAATTACATCAACGACCTTGAACGAATCCTTAGCCAGTCAACTATAAAACAGTATTTATTCACAATAAAATCTATCATATAAAAGTAAGTAGATAAACACTTTTAATATGATTATTTTTCTTTCCACATTATACTGAACACAATTTACCTGCATATCAGATAATGCTCTTTGTAATTCTGAAATTTCAGCATCACGTTGATTTAATTCTAAACTAAGTGATTCTTGATTTCCTATAGCATCATAAATTTTATCTAAACGACGTTGAACAGTTTCATGATCTTCAGTTAATGTTTCCACTTTATGACGATAATATGATAATAATTCTTTTGTAGAATCATCTAATTGATTAAGACGATTATCAAGTATATCATTTGATTTTGATGTTACCGGTGTTTCTTTTAATTTAGATGAAAATACTGTTGAATGGTTATTGGGAATAAAATTGGTGTGATTTTTAGATTGTATAGAATCTTTAGCTAATGATAACTTCTGTGATTTACCTCTACTGAAATTTTTAAAAAGGATATATAATGATAATAAAACAAATCACTTTAATATTTTATCATACATAAACCGTCTGACAATAGACACGACTAAATTATTCTTATGAAACCTAAAGTATATTAATTAGAGTCAGAAATAGTCGAACAAAATTTATCGTCAGATAAACAATGAAAATCACTACCCTCGTATAAATCTACACACTGCTATTGGATTCACGCTTGTTATGATGAATAGAAACACTTCTAGGTTGTTTATATTGACGTAGTTGAAATGGAATTTACATCTACAACAAAAAAGTGTCAAGTCAAACGATTGAACTATTAAACTACACATTCACTGTTAAATATTAACTACTGAGAAAATCACACCTGTTGTTAAATGATAATACAATATTCAAATCATGGTTAGATTTGAACTGTTTTTGATGTAGTGGTTTTCAAACTTTTCAAAACTCAGCATAACTTATAATATAAGGTATATAATAAGTCCATTACACAGATATATATTTTGCATTCCTAAAGAAAATTCATAGCACTTATTCGAATCCCAATTATATTGAGATGCCTTTATGCAGGTTATATCCAAAAATTTTATGTCACTGGCCTGTGTACTTGTAGGATACTGATCCAACGATCAAGTGAAACGTGAAACCTCAAAACCAAAACATTGGTTTTAGCTGGAAAGCTGTACAATTAACGTAGACAATATAAGGAATAGTCAGTCAGTCAGTAACAACGTAGAACTTCGTACGTAGGTACACCAGTTAGAGTTGCCATACCACATTAGCACAGAGATGCAGTTGTCGATTCAAATCCCGTAGTGGTAGAGGTAGCAAGAGTATAAGCAGTAATCGGGAAGTTCAGGGTTTGGAGATGTTATTCAAAGAGTATAATCCAGTGAAATAAATTTAAGAAGAGAAAAAAGAGACAAGGAGGAATCAGGAGATTAGAATTTGGGAGAACACAAAGAGTGGATGCACCTGCGCCATTGCAAACGATTTTGAGCCATGTCATTCAGGGTCTCTAACCATCGGTTGCTATCATCTCGTGGTCCCCAACCAGGTAGTCTACACCTACCAACATGACTCAGTTCACTTGTCAGTGACTTCATGGACATGTGCCATGTTTTGGTTTGGCCGCCCCTAGCTTTCTTCCAACCTACTCCTATGCCACTGAACATAGCACGTCGAGGCAGTCGGTCGTTGGGCATACGTAACACGTGTCCCAGCCATCTCAACTGATGAAGTTTCACTACGTCGTCAACTGATTTGCCATCCTTACCTAGTACCCGTTTCCTAACAACTGCGTTACTTACTCGATGGTCCCAGGATATACGAGCAATGTTTCGAAGACACCTATGATCAAATACTAGTAACCTACGGATATCCTCTACTCTTACCGGCCGTGTTTCACTGCCATAAAGTAGGACGGGACGAACTGCTGCACAGTAAACACGTCCTTTGGTCGATAGACGGATATCTCGCCTACGCCATAAATGACGCAAGTTGGCAAAAGCTAGTCGAGCCTTCTGTATCCGTGCTGAGATTTCGTCACACACCAAACCACAAGGGCTGATGAGACTTCCAAGATAAGTGAAGCGATCGACACGCTCAATTACTTCACTCCCTATCATTAGTTCGGGTGTCAATGCAACCCAATCCTGAAGCAACACTTTGCATTTCGAGGGGGAGAATCGCATGCCGAACATGCTTGCATTGTTGCTTAGAGTGGTCAGAAGACTCTGCATTTTGTCAGCGTATTCACCAAATAGAACTATGTCATCGGCATATTCTAAGTCAACAAGTGAACCTCCCGGTAGAAGTTCAACCCCTGTAAATTTAGATGAGGAGAGTGTTATCTCTAAAAGCACGTCAATAACAGTTAAACAGGAATGGAGAGAGTGGACAGCCCTGACGAACACCACTTGAGGTAATCAATTCTGATGACATTTCGCCATAAGCTCTCACTCTACCAGTTATGTTCGAGTAGAGAGCCTTTATAAGGTTAATGTACTTCTTTGGTACTCCTTTCAGTGACAAATACTGCCATAGAACCTTACGATCAACTGAGTTGAATGCCACCTTAAGTTCGAGAAATACTACCATTGTGGGGCGTCTGAACGTATGTCTGTGTTCTAGAACCTGACCTAGTATGAATATGTGGTCTATACAACCACGTCCAAGTCGAAAACCAACCTGGTTTTCTCTAATCTGTTCTTCACGAGCTTTAGTTAGGCGTTGAAGCATTATTGAAGCTAATATTTTAGACACTATATTTGTCAAACTGATTCCTCTGTGATTGTCACAAGAGGACTTTTGTCCTTTCTTATAGACTAGCACAATCAGTGATTGCGACCAGTCAGATGGGATTGGGTCATCACGATAGGCAAGCCCGACCACCGCGTCAAGGTAGCAGCTACGGTTGGATATAAGGAATAAAGGTTTACAGACCTCAAATATTGCGGTACCTTATAATCTGTTGCTCTGCCAAAGTATCGTGAAACAGAAATCATACCCCTTTGAAGGGAGTAGATAAGAGATTTATGATATGCGAAAACATTCAATGGTAACAAGCAAAGGACCAACCAGAAGCCATAATTCTGAAGGATGCAAGCCTTTTAAGGCAAACAAAGCTTCGAGTGGTGGTGTAGACGGTAGTGAATCGAAAAAAAAACAGAACTGTTATCTGGGAGTACAAACAAGTCAATCTATAGAAATAATAGTGTGTATGGAATCAACGATTCAGTGATGTTTGAAATTTAGTCGAACGAAAATAAGCTACTGAATATTGTAAAGTAGTATGGTGTATTATACACGCAATGTATTAATTTCCTTTTAACTTAAATTATATTTAACGAAACTAGAATTGCCTGTTTGAATGTCGGGCCTTAAACCAAGCTTCAGTCGCTGAAATCATTTCAAAAATAATTTTATATTTAATATCTTCTATATATTTGAAACCGGATTCCTGTTAAGCCATTCCTTCAAATTTTGATGAATGTTCATATAAAAACATAAAATAGAAAAATATATTAATAATTATCTGATAAACACAAAATACATAATCTCTCATGCTTGCAAAAAATACTGGACAGGATTCAATACCATAGAAACATATTATTCAGCAGTTCAAAAGACATTTAGAGATATAATGCGTGAAGAAAATATATTATAAAATGAAAAACTTATATTTCAGAATAAATTTAACATACATTTGGAATACTACTTATAAGTATAAAAGAAACTGTTACCTTAAGTTATTGGGTAGTTGTGGTTTGTTTTCATTTCTAAGCGTAACTGGAGACATTACTTGTAAACAACCATTCAAATCCAACAAAATATTATAGATCCTTTTAAAAAGTTTAAAAGAAAACCTATTCGTGTCTGTATTTGAATTAGTAACCAAATAAAAATCATAAGAAATGATAAGAAACTGGACCCAGTAATTCTTCTCTCTCTCTCTCTCTCTCTCTATATATATATATATATATATATATATAACGGCACAGTGTAAGTAAAAAATTCACATGATTAATAGCGAAGGGCAGAAGATGATAATGTCAATCCAAATGGAAACATTTGCCCCCAAATGCCCTGGTACGGCCGAGAGTGGGGAGAGTCCGCTCTGCTTCTCGAAATGCTCTCACATGGCCACGCGTATATAGCCTCCACCAGGGAAGTCCTACTCACTGCCTTCTCGTGGCAGGGGTGTTGTTTACGAAATTGAGAGGACGAAAAGCGAATGTCCGGCACTTTAACCGGGTTGGTGGATACGGAGAGTCCACCTAAGGGAGTTGCAAAACCCTGATTACAAACCATTGGTGCACATAAGCTCTAGTACCCTGAAGGAACAAATGTCGTATGAATCAATAGTTGGTCATCAGCTACCATGGGATTGCATCTCCTTACGATGCTTCATTGCCTTGTGGATCAGACCTTTAGGTCGAAGACTCCGGGTGTGGCCCCCTAAGAAAACCACCTGCTTCGGTTTGGGCATCCGGGCAGTATCACAGCCCTCAAACAAATTTGATGGTGTGACGCATATGTATTTGGTACCCCCTTGTGCCAGTATTTATGTGTTCAAATAAATAAATAATAAAATGGAAACAGTTTGGAAAGAAGTGATTAGATCATAGAACAGTAAATGCCGAATAATACTATGTTAAGGACTTAGATAAAGAATAAGTGTAAATATGGTGAGTATCTCGGGCCGGCACCTACTGAACCGTTTATATAGGCTTTCACAACTCAGACTAGTATTTAATGACTATATGGGCTAATGCTATTCCTTGGTTTCTTTGTCACTTATATTTTTCCATCTTACTATTATGCAAACTATTGTTGCATGTCGTGATAATTGACTAGGTATGAGTAACATATACCATAACTGCATCAGTAGATGATCTGCAGCCCAATCAAACAACGTGCTCATTAACTCCATCATGCGCAATACTTTTAAAACACCTAAGATCAAATACTTAGAGTTTAAATATGTTTTTTGCCTCAAAAGATCATATTTCACAGCCGTAAGACAGTGAAAAACAAACTGATGAACAATATGCTAGGCAAATAGACATCTTTTTTGAGCTGAATGGAGTACTACTTAGTAAAGGCCATATAGATTTTCGTACCTATGCGGAAATTTCATAGGTTACCAACCAATTAGGGAAGATAAATCACCCAAGATAATTAAAGAGGTCAACGTACTCTACTACTCTTCCCTTTATGATCAAATCAGATACTAAGGCAACACTTTCCATTCAAAGGGATAGAAACCCAACGCCAAAATCCTTGTATCGTTACTCAAAGCGTCTATAAGACTGCATTTTCCCATCAGTTAAACAGGAATATGCGATTCGCATACTCTAAATTAATCAAGGTATATCCGGGTAGATAATTTATCCATAAAACATTACATGGAGAATTGCCACAAGAACCCCACCAATGACAGAAGCAAAGTGGATAGTTCTAGAGAACAATAATTGATATCGCCAATTCTAATGACTATTCACCGTAAGCTTTAACCTAACCCGTAGTGTTGGAGTAAAAAACCTTCAGCAGACTGATAATTTATGATACATCTTGCAATAACAGACAACCCAGAAGAGCACATCGATTACAAAATCGAATGCAACCTTCTGGTCATGAAGTACAACTACATTCATCCCTCGATAAGTTTGAATACCAAAACTCATCGAAGGACGAATATTTGATCTAAACATCCAAAACCGGGTGTGAGACTTTGTTTCCCACGAAATTATCATCTGTAAAATCCATGTAAATGTCAGATGCATAATTATGCTAATATCATAAACGCTATATTAGATAAATTCTTTACTCTGTGATCATAACAAAAGAGGATTTCTGTCCTTCATTATAAACAAGGGCGATCAATAGTCGCGACCAATTTGATTGGATTACGTCCAGATTTTAAACTCTATCAAACACCTTAGTCAATATCAAAACTGGATCAACATCCCTTAAATAACACTGAAATTAAACTACATGTGCCTGCTAATCTACTTAAGCTTAGGTCGGTTATAATCTTTACGAATTCGCTAAGAGTTGAATATTCGAAATCGACCTCGCATTCAAAATGTTTATGAATGGTGGAGAAATACAAAATAGCTGGAGGCTACTTGTTGAATCGCTTTTCAATGTTCTATCGATCATTCCAATTGCCCGATCTGAGAGTGGCTGATCGTTCAGTGTATTTTGGTGATAACAAAGGTTGAATTTTTAGTCACAGTCTCTCTGATAAGCCTAAATAAGTGTCTAGTGTTATCTGTCTCCTCTGTATTATTCATTTATTTTGCTTTTGTCTTGCAAAGACTGTGGTCACTGTCAAACTGGTGAGTTTCAAATTGTGATGAAATGGCTTAGTTCTTATTTAGAAATGATTTTACACATGCTACATAGCTGGGAGAAAGAACAAATTGTCTTCTATCCACTACATTGCTAGAGACTGATATCCCAATCAAAACATTACTTTTGATCGTAATGCCTTATCTCCGTAATCTTTTCTTGTTATGACATTTATAAGTATGATAAGTCCCGGAAAATATCATGTTATTCATGTGAAACCATTTTTACACAATTACCTTTGATCTCAATCGCTACAAAATAACATAAAATCATATTTTCTACAAGATAAAACTAAACGCACAAACATGCAAAATTTAAAACTTAAAGCATTATTTCTTAAACGATTTGCCGATTTTATTTAAAAGAAACAACTTGAAATTAAATACAGGAAAATATACAAATATTAGCAAAAAAATATAATCCATTTATCTGAAGGACTTTCTTTGTTGTTTTTTACTTGTAGATGCAGTAATAACCTTGGGTTCTGTCGGACGTCGCCTACTTCGGCGGCAACCATCCTTGTACACACTTTCGGCTTGTTCCGCTAATTCTTTAGCCCACGTTGAGGGCCTTTTTAAGAGTCGAATTCTTTCACCCCAACTAACGGCTTCTTTTACATCGGTTGTTGTTTCCTCAGACTTTTTTGACGAATTTGAAGTGGTGGTTTTTGAGGGCGAAGAATGTTTACTAATTTGTTGAATGTCAGAAGGTTGAGAAACTGGACTGTTCTCAGCACTTTTACGACTTATCATTTTACACCCAACTATTCCAGCACCAACTACTACGCCAATACGTGGTGTTTCAAGGAGATTTTCGATATCTGGAACTTTTACATCCACTGAAGGAGACGCTTTAACCGAAGGACTATGCATACTGGACTTTGTGCTGGGAGTAAAACGATTTTTAAGGCAATTTTGTTTGGTTGAGTTTTCCAATTCCATTGAAAGTATCTCAATACGATTTAGGGAATCCTATGATGTTATAAGAAGTGAGGAAAAAAGGTAAAGTTATTAACCTATAATTACATTAGTTTTGAATGCCAAATTTAATGAACTTTACGGGTTACATCATTATTTCGTTAAGAAATAGTTATCAGCGTAGAACAATGGCCACGATCTAACAAAATGCCCTGGTACGGCCGAGAGTGGGGAGAGTCCGCTCTGCTTCTCGAAATGCTCTCACATGGCCACGCGTATATAGCCTCCACCGGGGAAGTCCTACTCACTGCCTTCTCGTGGCAGGGGTGTTGTTTACGAAATTGAGAGGACGAAAAGCGAATGTCCGGCACTTTAACCGGGTTGGTGGATACGGAGAGTCCACCTAAGGGAGTTGCAAAACCCTGATTACAAACCAATGGTGCACATAAGCTCTAGTACCCTGAAGGAACAAATGTCGTATGAATCAATAGTTGGTCATCAGCTACCATGGGATTGCATCTCCTTACGATGCTTCATTGCCTTGTGGATCAGACCTTTAGGTCGAAGACTCCGGGTGTGGCCCCCTAAGAAAACCACCTGCTTCGGTTTGGGCATCCGGGCAGTATCACAGCCCTCAAACAAATTTGATGGTGTGGCGCATATGTATTCGGTGCCCCCTTGTACCAATATTTGTGTGTTAAAATAAATGGCCACAAGTATATTTCGAGAAACTCAAATTACGAAGGATCCACTCCAAAATCTGGATCACCTGCAAAATACTTTACCTGGCGTCTAAATTTACCGGTATTTATTTATTTAAACACATAAACATTGATACAAGGATGCATCAGGTACATATGAGCCGGGCTGAAATACTCTTCGGTCGCCCAAACTGAAGCAGGTGGTTTTCCTAGAGGGCCACTCCCCGAGCCTATGACCTAGAGGTCTAATCCACAAGGCAATGGAGCAACGTTATGAGATGCACTCCTATGGTAGGTGGTAACCAACAATAGGTTCATACGCCATTCGTTCCCTCAGGATCATGAAGCCTATGTGTACCGTTAGTTTGAAATCAGTGTTTTCCAATTACCAAAGGTGGATCTTCCATATCCACCAACCCGGTTAAAGTGCCGGATATTCGCTTTTCGTCCCCTCAATTTCGTAAACAACACCTACGTCGCGAGAAAGCAGTGAGTAGGAATTCTCAGGCAGTCCTACTCAGTTCAGAATTATGGATTGATATACTTTGATGCATAGAGATATCGCATATGAAATTGCTCAACAAATTTTTAGACTAACGAAATACATGATTGAAAATGAACTGATTTCCATTTAGTTGACAGCACATGTTCTTATTAGAAGCTTACATAAGTACTGAGTATAGAATAGCTGTAAGCTCTAGATAGTCTCAGAAAGATATTGGCTCTTTTTAGATTACCTTTTCACGTTTTAACTGCAGAATAGTTTAAATCCATATATCTTTGTATCTAGACGTATACGAAAAATGTACTATTAAAAATGGATCCATAGTTGATTTAAGGATGAGAAAAATCATGTCTGTACTTAAAAAGAAAAGTTTATATTAACAGAATGTGGCAGTGATTTACATCTAATACGACCTGATTTTGTATTCGCTTTGTAGAGATGTCAAGGCAAAACACTTAGCGACGTGAAGCCACATAGTGTTTAAACTCAAAGGAAAACTGAAGCCTCATCAAAACAAACTAATGCATGAGTAATATTTTAAGTTACTTTAGCTATAATAAATAAACATGCTTAAACGTAGACGGTTAAGTCAATCAGTGGTCTTGAGCGCTTTTAGAGGTATGAGGGCGGTTTTCACTTCCCGATCGCTCACACCGTGGAAGGGTTCTTCTCGAGGCACCTGAAAGGAAATTGAGTTAGAGTTGGTCTTAGTGACCTGAGAGCGTAACCGCAGTGCCCAAGGGACAACTGCTTGGGGCCGGTCACACACGACCTTGTTATGGGTAATTTTTGTGTTAGCTCCGTACTTATTGAGACCTTACCGCCGGAGACGGATATCCGTGGGATAAGGCGAGGTGTGCATTTTTAGGGTCGACCTTTTCTAACCCCACTCCTCCTTGTGGGAAGGCAGCACCGCTGTTATGCTGACTATCTGAAGGAAACACCTTACTGCCGTCACACCTCCGAACAATCAGCAGTACGACTTTGCTTTTAGTCTTACCGCTCTTCAACCAACCTGCCTGGCCTGGTAGAACCTGGAGGAGCGATTGCTCCAGCCAGTATAACCCGATTGGCTCATCACGATAGGCAAGCCCTACCATTACGCCAAGGTAGCAGTAACGATCGGGAAGGCGGATAAACAGCTTTCGAAATAGTCCCTATGTAAAGGTGATTAGCAGGAGGAAAAACGACGGAAAATTCATAAAAATGGGGCAATGGTTAGCAGTTACATAAGCTTATTAACAAGGCCTATTTCAAAAAAAGATCATGATTAGTGAAAACATACCAAAGGCAGGGGTCAAGAGGCTGGGGCAATCGTATGTTTATTGCGTTTTCACCATAGCACTTCTAACATAAACTACGATTATTTGGCAGAATTACGGCTACTTAAGGTATTCCTAAGAATTTCCGTTTTGTTTTCTAACTAAGAATAGTTTAACAAAGTCAGCAATTTCGTACCACTACATCGTAAAAGTGATTAAAAGAAACCTAACTATAATACTTACGGGGAAGGTTACAAGATTTAGGCCTGGCAAGTACTCTTCCTCTGGATCTTCCATTCCATCAGTGCCTTGTGTTTTCGAAGAATCCAAAGCAATATTTCCATCATTTATCCTAAGTTTTTGTGTAAGTAAACGTTTGGCCTCAGCATAACGCGACAAACTCATATTTAAACACTGTACCGTTTGGTTTAATCCTGAAGGAGCCTGAAGAGCTTTGACAACAGGTAGAGAACAAGTGAGAAGGTCACGTCGATGACTGAAAGTAGCTTTTGAAACATCGGATAGATCTTCAGCTGGCGAGGCGGTACGGCCCTCTGTAAAATCATCCCGATTCACAGCAGGACTGTCAAAAAGGGGGGCCCCGGGATATAACACTTGCCGCATTGCACAAAATAAAAATGCATTTGCAGCACATAGTTTCCGAAAAACGTAATAGACATCTAAGTGTCCTTCGTCACGAGCCTCCGTAGCAACCTGTAAGATCCAAGACCAACTTTTAGGACAAACACGTATATGAACCTATTAGTCAACCAAATAAGAATACATAAAACATTGGAATATTAGTTTTATAAGCAGATAGAATTGAGTTAGGCATGAAATTTCATGGGTGTTTTAACATCAAAAAATATAGCTAAGCAACAAAAGCTTCATGTTGAACTTAATTTCCGCTATCATCAGGAACACATCTAAAACTTACCAAGAAAGCACGACACCTTCGTGATACAACTTAGACGAACAATAATGCCGTAAATTTTCAATGTTGAATCCATTTTGTGATGCCGAGATAAATTTAGTTTCAGTCGGCCATACACGACAAAGAATTTGAAAGATATGTACATCAGTTCAGGTAGTCACACTCAATAAACAAAGCGAGATGAAAGTTTTGGGGGTAATAACAGTATTAGTGGTAATGGCTAAGATTAGACATTGAAGATACAATTCGAGAAGAAAATGTGGACTATTGGAGTAAATAAAATAATTATAAAGTGATTTAGAAACTTGGGATCTAAAAGAAAACGAAGAGCGAACGTACGTGCACCATTGCGAACGATTCCGAGCCGTCACTCATGGTCTCCAACCATTGGTTACGATAACTTTACAGACTCCAACCAGGTATTTTGCAGCTAGCTACATGGCTTAGTCCGATGATCACTGTTTTCATAGACTGATGCTACGTTCTGGCTTGACCACTTTAAGCGGTCAGCATCTGGCGGGACAGTCCGTGTAGCAGGCCAGCATTCTACCAATGAACTGACGGAGAACCCAGTTTGAAGGTGATTAAACAAAAGTCTTACGGAGAAAATGTTTCCATTTGAGGTGAAGATGTGCAATAAATTGATTAAGTGGACGTCCAACTACCTCAGTAAGTCAGTCAGTCCGCTACAACGTAGGACCAGGCACATATATGCATCGGTTCAAGTTGCCATACCTCATTAACACAACAAGATGGACACCGGATTCATAAAAGTAGTTAATTCAGAGGTGGTAATATATAAAAGAAAGATTGCAATACGTATATAACACAGGAAGAAAGGATTAGTTCGTAGAAAGAAAGATATGAAGCGATTTTAATCTTTTAGTTTAAGGGAAGACAGAGTGTATACATCGATGCAATTGTGATCGATTCTGAGCCATGTCACTCACAGTCTCCAACCATTGGTTACTGTTATAACTCTGTTTTCTTACGGTTAATGACCCAGCTATTCCTATTGCTTAGTATTCTCGGACACCGATTCACTCGACAAGTCCCCAAATCAGAACACGGTTGAACAGGAAAAAGATTATATTCCAAATAGCAAGTCAGGAGCACAATAGGAAGCACAATAGGGGAAAACGTCGGTATATTTATAATTTTTACATAAGAAGATTCCAGAGTATTCTCCGACTATCGACTAGTGCTGAGTGGATAAGAATCAGCCAATCAGCATGCACCAAAACAATCATGCATTGAGCATGCTTTAATCTAGTCTATGTCCTGCTAACACCTCCCCTCTGAGCAGATTCGTAGGATCTGGTGCTAGGGTCCAACTGCAACTGAGTGACTGGCTTGTGCTTTCGATTAGTCCATCGTCTAGGCAATGAAGAATTATCACATTTTCCTTGCACAGAGACTGACATGTCTGTTCCCGGCGTTTTGATTTTTTTTTTAAAAAAAGTATGCATAACTTTTAATTCTCCAACATTCTCCTCCTCCGCGAAACAATGTCGGATCCTTATATCTCCAAGTTACAATTAATAGGACTTTGTTTAAACGACGTTTCTCGCATTGAATGTCGGATCCACTAGAAACGACTAGATGATAATGAACGACCTTTGATTTGAGGTCAAAGTTTAATTCTTCTGAAGCATTACTTTCAAATCCATTAGGAATTTCATCGGTGGATAATGGATCATTACGGAAATCATCATCTAACAAAATTAAATTAGACTTTTGACCATAATTTGACTCAGCTGATATATTTTCCTGATTTTTATGAGAAATTTCATCAAAATAACATGCATTGTTCTGAGAACCCATGTCTGATACATTGTCATTAGAAATCGGATAAGCTGATTCAATATAAGTTTCTGTCTCACAATGATTTTGAGTAACATTCGGTATAATTGGGTTCGTTGTGTCACTGCAGTTATTTTCTGAATACGAGTCCCCATAGCTTTCTTGGTTAATATCACGTGGACCATAAATTTGTTCTAGCTGAAAGTTATTTTCAGAGCTAGACAGGACCAGTAGCGCTTCATTCAATTCTGGACTCCGGGCTTCATCTACAGGGTCTGGCTCTTGATAATCTCGTATTGCCACAACTTTATGAGCATTCAGCACAGGATTTTCTTGCTGTGAGCCGGAAACGTTACAAATATTACGTTCTGATTCAGGTATAAAGGGATTTGAACCCTCAACTAGATATGCTTCTGAAATGTCTGTTACTGCATCATAAACAGATTTCTTATTTTCTGGTCGAGTGAAAAGTGTGTTCAATAGTTGTTGTTGCAAGGCTAACAACTTCTGCTGGTGCTGTAATATTAACCGCAACTGTTCTAAAGAAATCGCCATTTTTCTTTAGTTTTTCCCCGTCGTCACTGTTATAACTCTTGTTTCTTCTTACGGTTAATGACCCAGCTATTCCTATTGCTTAGTATTCTCGGACACCGATTCACTCGACAAGTCCCCAAATCAGAACACGGTTGAACAGGAAAAAGATTATATTCCAAATAGCAAGTCAGGAGCACAATAGGAAGCACAATAGGGGAAAACGTCGGTATATTTATAATTTTTACATAAGAAGATTCCAGAGTATTCTCCGACTATCGACTAGTGCTGATTGGATAAGAATCAGCCAATCAGCATGCACCAAAACAATCATGCATTGAGCATGCTTTAATCTAGTCTATGTCCCGCTAACAGTTACGATAGTCATGCGGACCCCGACCAAGTAGTCTGCATCTACCAACATGGCTCAGACTAGAAGTTAGTGACTTCAAGCACTCTTCATCGTATTCAGAGCCTGATGGGATGAGTTTGCGAGAATCCATCAGTGCAATAGACCTTGAGGAAATCCATTGGTTCTTTGTAACCCTGTGGCTTAAATCACTGATAGATGTCACTGCTGTTTCCACAGCTGTTTGTATGGCTTTCCAAGCAACAACTGGGTCAACCTCGTTTTTAGAACTACCTAATTGTGACCTCAGTTGTTCCTGGAACCTACATTTGGTTTCCTCGCTACTTAAATCAGTTCTAATGGGTCTTCTTACTGTGGCTTTTTTGCGTCCAGTGAGGCGCAAGCAGATGCGTGCCCGTATTAGGGCATGGTCGGAGTCCAAGCAGGTACCCCAGAATGAGCGACAATCTTCTACAGACCCTCTCCAACGACGACTGATGGCAATATGGTCTATTTGAGTCCATCGTTTGTTTGGTGTAGGGGGTCGCCATGTTAGACGATATCTCTCCTTATGCTTAAAATTTGTGTTTGCTAAAAATAAACGATTATCTGAGCACAGTTGCAGCAGACGGTCACCATTATCTGTTCGCTGTGCTGGAATGCTAAAATATCCACCTAAATGCCTTTCTGTTTGGTTTAAACTACCTATTTGGGCATTAAAGTCACCTGCTACGAGTACTATGTCTGAATGTTTAGCTTTCTGTAAAATTCATCTTTCACTTCATCTGAGCTACAGTCGATGGTAGCGTAGGCAGAAATGACAAAAAGGCAACGACGTGTGTCCCTATCCTTCCGAGTTCTTACGGAGCCGTTTAGCCGAACAGCACATAGACGACTGTTGACGGGGATCTACTCTACAATTGCTTGTTCCGCCCTCATGCTTAGTGCTATTCCTACACCTGCCAGTCCACGAGAACTGGCCATCGGGTCACCAGATACACGTAGGGTGTATCTCGTTGACTCTCCGTTTTGCCAAGGTGAGGTCAAGTGAATGACCACACTGGGATACTGTATGTGTGTTTCGGAGACACAGCATACATCAATGGAAAGAGACTTTAGGGTTTTAGCCAAGGATGCCTGCTGACCGATTTGACATAGGGTGCGTACGTTGAAGGCTCCAATGTGTAGTTTGGAGCGAGGTTTCAGTAGACCTGGGACAGAGTTTTGAGCACTAGAATCGTTGGCTATGGTGACGCTTGAGGAGGAAGCCGGAAGAGGAAGTTTAGAGGTGAAAGTCGATGTAGGAGGAATAATAGGAAGTGAAGACGAAGGTTGATTATGAATACAGTGGTCTTGAGTGCTGTTAAGAAACGTTAAGAAACGAAATGAGACTTAACGTCACTTTGGAAAATTAGGACAGACAGCTATACACAACGTAATACCTTACACTGTGAATCACTTTAAATCTCTATATCTCACAATAGTGCAGCAAAATAATTAGCAAGCCAACATGTGAAGAAATAAAAGTAAGATCAACAATATTAACAAGCCGAAAATAAGGGAAAATGTCTGAGAGGAATGAGAAAAATGTAGTAATATTATTTCTAAGATTTATAGATAGATGAATAATGAGTGGACGTGCGCCACCGCGTCATTTAAAGTTGCTGATCATAAGTTACGGTAGTGTTAACAAACCGAGCTAAGAAAAAAACTGAGTACAGTGGAATTATCTTCAAATATAGTGGTTTCAGTGTTACATACTAATTTGTTACCAAATGGACCAAAGTAGGGGATATTTTAAGCAAAAAAATTGCCAATTACATATTTTAAGTTAGCAAAAAGTCTAACATAAAACTGAAATTTCATTGAAACCATCAGTCGATTTAAGGTAGATTACCACTGAAAACCCGGAAAGCCTTTTCGTCCCAGTATGAGATTTTGCAGCAGTGCAGTTCATGATTTTAATGAAACCTGACAATCTCCACAACCCTATACTGACAATTATTATGCCCTCATTAGTGACTAGCTTTGAAAGGAAAGTTCCGGAGTTCTAGTGAGAAGCAGTGATCAGTGGAGCTAAATCGTGCTGGGTGTGAAGCAGTTACCCAGCAACGACAATAAAAGATAGTTACACAGTATCATGAATTGATTAAAGTTAGACATTAACACCGTTGGATTCTGGCTCAGTGATCAAAAGGTTGAATTTTCGTGCGCGAGACAGGTCTTGGGTTCGATTCCCACGTATGCGGTCATGTACGTACACAGTTGAGGATTCTTGTACCAGGATTAAGCGGCCACACAGTGCCTCCAGGTTTTTAATGATCTGACATATTGATTCATAATTTAAATGAAATCCGACAACCTCATACTGATAAAATTAAAAGCTTTGTAGCGCAGTAGGGGGATCTTGGTAACGTTGTGTTCCCCAGGTTTAACGATCAAATCGTTGAGTCTTTATCATCTTTTGGGTCACCAGCAGCAGAGCAAACTTCTAATGAAAGCTCGTAAATTTTTTAGTGATGTTGCTTAGAAATACTATTTGACCTATACGATTAAACAACCGACCAATAACACCAAGAGCTAGAAAAGGTAGAAAAGAGATCATTAAAACCAGAATAACAGAGTTCTAAATCTCTTAAACGCAAGAATCTACCTTTACTCACTACTCAAAGCCTAAAGCTATGTTAATAACCAGTGGCCGAGGGTAAAAAGCCTTTACTCAATAGACTTGTACCTTATCTAATCAAAATGAGCAATTCAAGATTGCAGTTCAGCCTGATAAAATAATACGCACGTACAGGTGTTACTAAAGCACGTGCAACACTTATCTGTATTAACTCCGCCGACACACTTCGTAAGTTGATTTACCTTTCCTACCTAAAACTACTTTGAAAGTATTCAACAAAAAAGCAAATAACCTGACTCGGTGAGCTCATGTTTCGTAAATATCAACTAGAACTACTTCTATGGTTATACAATACATTGAAGAGCTTACTCTTAGTAACATTTTTACAAAACAATAAGTTTAATTAACTCCTATAATATTAATGAGGACTGTAAATTAAAGAGGATAAATAAATAATCCCTAACCATGTAAGAATCTGCAAAGAACACTTGTTCGTTCGTCAAATATTTGGTTGCAGGTGTACAAAAGCCCTTTAACAATTAGTGAATATGTTTTATCTTTTATTTAGTATTTAGTGAATTAGAGTAGAATCTGGGTTGTACAAAATATCGTATCTCACAATCGGGATGTGGATATCCATCATACGCAGTACGTAAAACACTAGCTTATGAAAAGGACTTTCAACTATTAATGATCTATGAATAGCAATAACCCTGCCGTATATCAATTAAAACCTTCAAACTTCTCACCAAGTAGGTCGACACTGACGTCGTAGGGAACGCGCCAACGTTTTTGTAAGAAACTATTAGTAGTGCAGTTGATCATCAAAAGCTTACTTAAATTTCCAAAAACAAATTAGGATGAAGACAAAATAAAATTCATGTCTACTAATTAAGGTTGAGCAACAAGTAATCTTTCTCCAAAGTAAGATGGTTGGATACTGGCTGGGGAAATAATTAGCTATGCAAACACGCTGGTCGGAAACACTTCTTTTACCGAACAAAGGACTAGATGAAAGATATCCATCAATTAATCAAGCCCAGGTAACTAAGGCAAGCAAAAAGTTGTCTGCTTCCTAATGCATATAATATAAATTATGAAAGCACTACTAATCATTTACAACTTACTTTTGATGGGATAAGCAACAAGTTATGTGAATAACGTGCCGATATGATACTCCCATGAATATAAACCAAGGTGTGTACTAATCTTATTACGTTTCTGAAGTTTCAATGGTACGATAACAAATGAAAATACTATTGAGTTAGGTAACAGTCTTGTATAATTATTTCGGAAATCTATACGAGATAGTAATTTGACACCTGAGGTAGCACTAGTGGAGAAAATATTTAATTTGTGACATGTCAATAATCCTTACCGTAGCTATTATTATGCATTCAACTTATTTAAGCAGATGTCAAGAAGCACTAAAACTCACATGATTGCGAATGGGCTGCTTCCCGTGGAAAGCATAGAGAAGGTAGAGTGCGCATATACGAACTAACTTGTTTTTAGATAAGGTTGGCTGAAACAGACTAACCAACCGGTGAAAAATGCAGCCAACTATGTCATATAAACCGTGTTGGCACTGCCTCCCCTGAATTAAATGGATCAATTTGTACTTCTTCCAGAGCTCCGCAAAATCCACAAAACGAGGACTGCCTAAATCGGCGAATTCTTCAGTAAATGCTTCAATATCCTCATCTAAGCCCATGATAGGATTAAAAGCAATTTGCAAATAGTATGAACCATGTGTGACACTGTCCCTCTAAATAAGAGTAAAATATAGACTTCAAATTTTCACTTACTGTCTCTTGTTGTTCTCCCATCGTGGTATTATGATTCTAAGTTATAGCACACGGTAGCCGATTGCACCCTTAAATTATAAACAATTGTTAGCAACCGCGGATGCGTCTGTCCTCAAGGTCAATCTTTCAAACCACAAACTTTGTTAAGTAGAAATAACCTTGTCTCTTTGCCGTCTCTAGTATTACGAATAATATGCTTGCTGGATTGTTTTATTCTTCGAACGATGATCTTCTATGAGAACCCACATCCTTTTTTTGGGAGATAATTCACCTCTTCAAGTTGCTGATCAAGATCCAATATCTTTGTGGCCAGCCCGCATAAACCGAGGAATTTTTCTGTGTTCTCTTGTCGATGTTACTGTACGGTTGCAAACCTTTGATATCGTCCAGCCTAACTGAACTGGTCTTTCGGCTGAAAAAATTCCAGGAAACTTGATAATGACCTTTTTCTTGAGTACAACAGAGTTTATTTGTTCTAACACAGTGATGATAGTAAGATCAGTAGCTACCATATCGCGTGGCAAGAGCTTTATTTGTTGCAATGTGAAAAACGAATCTCGGAATTCAGGTGAGCAAAGATGACGGTCACGATGGATTAATTAAGAGTTTAGACATGCCACAAGTGATCGGAGTTTGACAACTTCTTTAACCTTAACACCCTTTTAATCAAAGTACGCCGACCCGGTCTAATCAAAAGCTAGAAATGGAGAGGTTTGAAGACATATTTGATAGACTATCGATATGTTGGAAAGCATTTGGTCCAAGCTGGCTAATAGTTGCAAGGGATGAGCAACGTGGTGTACCCACTCCTGATCTGGTGTGGTTACGTGGTCAAGCGCACTCAGCTACGGCGTTTGCACTAAGACTGACAAGATCGTCATCAATGTTGGGAACTTACAGAACGATTTGTTTTATGAATTTATTTACCACTGATGGCATAATCGAATGTACCGTATTTGTAGGATCCTCATCTGGGTTTGGACGAAACTTAATATATCCTTGTAAATTGACTTTATATGCTCGTCCGTCCATCTCCTTCTTGGTGATATTTCATTGTTATACCAATCTGTAAAATTTTGAGATACGTTAACAAGGTGACACCCGACACAATAAAGATTAGTTCTGTTTGGCGCATTTCTGTATTTGTTTTATTATAAAACACCTGTCGGTTATTTATGTACAAGTTTCAATATAAATTCAATCCAATTTCTAAGAGTTATAATTCTGGTGTTAAACCAATTTATTAATACTTCATTTCAGTTGCACTCATTTGATCAGGTTACATTTTGACTCAATCTATCAACATCGTAAACGTCAGTTAATTTAACTGCTTGAATGTGTACAATGTAACAGCATTATTCAAGCTCTTATTTAATTAATTGATCATCAGCCATTAAAGTAAAGACAAGGAACATAACAGTTCAGTCAAACGTCTAGGGTTATCAAGTGTTGATATTAGGTAAAGATTCACATTTCCCATGGCTATGAATGTCTCCGCATCCAACAATAATATGATTCTTAATAAAAACATATGCAAATCTGTTGACCTGCAGTTTCACTTTGCTCTCTCTGCATAAACTTAGAAACAAGAGTCTGTGGAATCGTTAGTACTTGTGGGCACGTAAAAATGATATATGAACGATGTACCGAACTCCGAACTGCGATTAAAACAAATTTTAGTCCCAGTTTGACTGAGTATGACTGAATTATATTGATGTCAATGAAATACATGAAAAACAGGCTTCTAGGTCCATCTTCCCAACTTGCGAATTCTTCCAGATGTAACTCACTCTGAGCTGTCCTTAATCACGAATTCTTATGATTATCCCTTCATACATTATTGGTATTCCTAATGCAAAGTATTTGGTTGTGCTCACAAGGTGCTCTCTGACTTGTATATTGGTCCATTTGCAACAACCAAATCACAAATTGGATAGTTCTGAGTATTACTGGTTAACGTACTGAATCCTTGGGGGAAATATGACCACAAGGAAGCCGAAATGGTCAGAGACTCACTTTAAGACTCTCACGTATGTGAGTTTATGTAACGCCCTTGAGACTACGATAAGATTATTTCCCCTAACATTGTTCCGCTGAACTTATGCAAAAGTTTATTCTCGGCAAAACACTTATGGTTGATAATAGCGTAATCAACACTCACTCATTGTGAAAGACGAGTTTTGTTTTTCTCTGAGCTCAATCTAGTCGTTTGCTTGTGACCTGAACCGTTATGAAGATATGGAGTGTGATTAACTAATACGCGTTCATTGTCCGTGAACCTGACGAGGATCGGTGAACCGTTCGACACTCATTAAACCAACTGCCGGATGGCTTGGCATGAGTTCAGTAATATTGTGATAATTAAGGGTATTTGAATTATAGTACGAACTAAGAATCCCAGAAATAACACAATTGGATCAAGAAGTACTAGATAAGCACGAACGAATGTGCAGCGCGGAAAAAACGTCGGGGCCGTTCGAAGCAGCCCGCTTTCTTTTGAACGACCTTGAACGGTCTGGCAAGAAGCGGTCATTCCGTATTTCGATTGCTGTGGGTTTGTTGGGTTGCATGAGTATCAAGTTTTTTCATAATTAAGTCATCTTTTGCTCCATTAAAAAGCATAAAATAACTGCCGAAAGCACTAATTTAGCGTTCTCTGTCTTGTAGTGTACACGTTGGCTCTGTTGCCGCTTCGTAACTTGATTTGTGATCCCAACTGCTGTAGTAAACCTAAACGAAATGCCAAGTCACCGGTAAGTCTTAAGTATTTGTAGTACTTCCTTGGGTTATTGTTGTTTTAAGGAATAACTTTTTTACAATTGATGATTTATGTTTGTAGTGCTTCATGCTCAAATGACATTTCATTCGACCTTAGCTATGCTTTTCAAAGTGTGATTCTGAACATGAGTTTCGCATGCTGGGATGACTCTGACGGCGCGCTAAAAGAGTTCCAAAAGGTATGGAAGAATAATTTTATCCCTTCTCAGACTACCCATACTCATTACATTCACACGGAAAGCAAGTTGCTGAATGACGTCAGGTCCAAATACCTGTTTGCTACGTTTCACTGTACATTTGGTCATAAGCGTAATTCGGAGGGTTTGAAAGTGAATCCTTAATTGCCAATCAAAGTTCCGTGTAAGACTGGAGGAGCAAGAATATGTCATCAAAGCTTACAAGATGCTCCACAATCATCCATGTAGTAGTTCATGGATGGTTTGTGATCTATGGACAAGAAGATTGTCGTCGGAAGAGGAAGAGAATTTGAAGCCAGTCATTTTGCAGTCCCAGTCAACGGATGAAGTTATAGAAAATATCAAGGAGTGAACTGGTAAGGTGGTCACCGCTGCTGATGTAAAGACTATGAAAGCTAAACTCTCCACAGGTAAGTGTACAAAAATGTATTTCAGGTTGTTGTACTCGGAAGCAGGTAATGGATTCGCTGTGTCAAAATGGAGAAGTGAGGGAACATTTAGAAAATGGATATGTAACGAGAATATGTTTCAGTAGTTATGACCAAATAGTTGTACAATAAATATCCAGAAGTTGTGTGTATTGATTCTACTTATAATACCAATAATAAGAAGTGATTATGCCTTTCGTTGTATTATACTTTGTAGATATTCCTTATTCCAGTTGGCGGATAATTTCGGCCGAGGACGTCCTGTAATGCTTTCTTGGAGGCTAAAGAAAATTCGTGTAAATGTAACGTGGATTCTTGATCAATTCAAAGAAATCATGGGAACAACTACACGGGCGGAAACACTTGTTATGGAATAAGTACGAGCAGAAAGCCCGGCTATCCGCATCACACACGGTCATGCAAACATTATTTTGTGCGCCTTTCACGTAGTTCGCGCTTTCCGCAAAAAGGTACACCAGGAGTTGTCTACACAAAATTGCCCTTAGACACATGACAAAATACTGAGAATGTACCTGAGTCGATTGGTAACCGCAAAAACGGTTGGAAGGTATTTTTTAAATGTATTTATTCTGTGGTGGACCAGACGATATTTAAACACAAAAAGTATCAACAAAGTTAATAAAAAGCAATAGTAATATATATCAGTTAAATGTTACACATACAATAAAAATGGGACTTTACTTAACTTCACCCAAAATGATGCGTGTTCGGCTTTAATCTGGTACAATAAATCCACAATTATAGATGCTTGGTAATTCCAAACGTATCGATGAACTCCCAAGTGGTGTAATCCAAAGTAAGATATGGTGTATTCGCTCTCACAGTCTATGAATGTAAATAATATTTGTTTTAGATCTCAGTTAACTCAATCTCGAATGAAAACAGAACGGGGAATGTGAGAGAAGCAGCGTATTTGTTAACCAGCAACGATATGTCACGCTATGTAGTATCACAACGGAAAAAGTCTTCAAGGTCATTTACCTAAACAACAGGTACAATCATTTTGTGATAAATGTACATGCAGTGAGAAATTGACAAAATAAATACAAATAATATTAAAAACTATTTAAAAAATAAGCTTGTCAGACTTATCTCCACAATTCACTAGATTTAATCGATATTTCAGAACAATAAACCAGAGAGACAGACGGATAGGCCAGTATTTGGAATTCGAAACCAAGCATTCAAAAAATACAAAGGAATCATTAGTTCATCCAAACACCACAAATATTTCACTGACTCTTCATGCAATCACTGTTGGACACTAGGGGACTGAGTTGATAAGGATATGCACTAAATTCTAATCAAATAGGGTAAACTGTTTTTGAAAAGCAAGGAACGATGCTCTATCTTAAAAACAGGATGAATAAATTTGATTTCCATCGTATGTGAGTAATCAAGGTGTAAGATAGTAATTATTAGAATTACGAGAATCATACAACTCACTACCAGTCAGCAACAATAAAAGACTTTAATAAACAAGAAAGATAGATTACTGGACGTTCAGTGATTTACTAAACTTCGTCAAGACCATGGAGAACTAAAGCGGATAAATTACCCCGTGACGTGGTTGCACCATGTGAGGCAGCGCAGTCTT